ATACAAGTCTGAAATACATAAATGCCACATATTAACACAATTTGCCATGTGATACTGGTTATTTAGTGCTATTATTTATAATGATGCTGATTTTTTTTCTAAATACTAGTACTTCGTGACACATGTTGAATGAAAATGTTTATATACCACAGAGAATTCTTTATGACTAGACGGTACTATTCTCTGACTTTGGCAACAAATTAATAGCCAGAATCAGTTTTTTCATTCTTGTAGGCTGGAATAAGTTTTTTCACTCTGAACAACCTTACCTAATCACACAAAAATCTACGGGGAAATGAGACAAAATATAGTTTAAATAACACATACTGGCATGCAGAGGCATACATACCTAACCTACTTATTACTCACATTTTATGTGAGGCATGAGCGATCAATGACTACTTTGTACATTTCGAACTAAACTTCATTTAAAAGGAGACCAGGTTTAAAACAGCTGGCATTCATGCAAGATCCACCTTGTCTGCTGGCTCTTTTGATGCATATTACTCAAGCAGGTGAGGGGCATCCTAGTTACAATATGTCTATGTCTAGACCAAACATGACAATTAGCTTTGGACCTGATCAATTTTGTTACCGGTATACTAAAGGTATCCTAAGGATAAGAATTATTCCCAACATTTGGGGGTACAGCTATATGTTATCAAATACAGTTAAGTTCTAGGTTTACTTCCACACCCCAGAAAATGAGCATTAACACTTGAAGCAGAGTCCTGGCAACTTTTAACTTAGATAACATAGGGTTTTTTCAGTGTAAAATGGAAAAACACTCTTATATTATGTATACCCATGCAGTGCTTCGTACAGCAAACTAAATAAAGATGTTTTTGCAGTTTCAGGTTGACTAAGACAAAATGAATCCAGCACACCCTACTGTTTCCCATTACGTCTACTGACTGGTAATTATCCTCCAGTATAACCCACACACTTGTTAGTTCATGCTGTTCAATATCTGCAGCATACTCCGTTCAACATTTTACCAAATAATAATAATAAATACATGATAGCAAAGGCCAAGCAAGTAACCTAAAACAGCTTTCATTCCGATGGAGTAAGTTGAGCTTAATGACTCTTTAACCAGTATTCCAGTTATATCACAGAGTGGCAGCTAATGTTGGTGGAAAGCTGAAAGTGATCCAGGTCTCATTTGTTTACCATTTTCATACAATCTATGGATAGGGTGCTGACAAAACTAGAAACATAATCAAAGTGAACTAGGATCATTCCATTTGAACCAAGCATATGAGCTGATATTTTTTTGTTTGGCCTAACTCCATACAAAATGTCACCTATCAAAACAGATCACCATCTTAATGTCTTATCTATTACCAATAGACATGTCCCATCATATCGAGCCCTGTGACTGAACTAATCTCTGTCTACATTGGTCTATGCACACACTTGTGAATGGTTATATCACCAAGGAGTCTGTGGAGTAGGTCCTCACTTCCTTGGCATTGTTGCTTGTGAACATTATCTGTACTTGCTTTATCTTTCCAGCACAGGAAAAAATATTTTGAGTGACCTCTCCACAATGTCAATAAAAGTTGTTAGCAACATACTGCATGTAATATAATTCCATGACTGATATATATACCAGTAACAAATGTTTACGACTGAAAATATGTATGTGGTATTCGGGTGTTTCTTCCATCATTAAATCTAAGACATAAATCTAATTTCATACCATGAGACAAAAATATGGCAAGTGTGTACATATGCTTTATGGGATATGTTTTATCTTTCCATATACACAAAAACTATTATCATGCCATGTGTATATTTAAATAGAATTGCACATCTGATTATCCCTAGCAAAAGTTGAGTAGTGTGTCAGTGTATAATATGTGCATTATGTGTACAGACCTGTTAGTGAGACAGGGATAAATGTCAAGACATTTCTATGCTTCATCAATTTTTGAAGAATTTTCCCTGATCTTACTTACATTACATTATCAATATCTCATATTATGTAAATATTGGATGCAATTATGAATGCTGTAAAATATGGAACATTGCAATGCATAGTAAACCTTTTACTGTGCTTGACATCCATGACTGATCATGTTCTTAAATAAATAGGTTGTACAAACACGGTATGGTTCACTTTCTCTCCATTCAGCTTATTAGTGTAGTTTTTCCAGTTTGATATTTTTCCTTCAATGTTTCAAAACTCATAATGGAAATATTCATAAATGTGATTGGTTGATAGCATAAGAATACTGGTTGACAAAACAAAGATTCTTGAGCATGATGAACCTTACAACACATAGTTTGGAAACTTTATGCTACATCTACACTGTTAAATGCTAGAGGCACTGTTAAGAACTATATGGGAACAGTCACTGTGTCCTTTGCTAAAGTAACCTAAATGTCTTGGAGGCTGATTCATCAAATGGTTAAAGCATGGACATCTTTTGTAAGCAATACACAAGCTGATCCAAACTTCACCCTGGCCTTGGTCTGCATCTGATCTTCAGGAACAGGCCGCCATTTAATTTGATCTAAGACTGGAAAGAGGATACAGTCCTACATATGGGACCACTCAGTTGAGTCAGCTCCACATTTTAAACATGATACTGTGAAAGCCAGATTAACATTACACAGGCCCATATCAACATGAAACAAGTTTTCCTTAGCCAAATCAGCCTGATTCAACACCAACTTGAAACAGTTTTTAAACCAAACCAAACCACAAAGCCAGATGAAGTCGTGACCCATATATTTTTCCGGGTTAAGAAGTTGACTAAAAGAAGTGAAGCTGCTGTTCTGTAAAGTGGGTAAGAAAACTCATAAGACAAACAAAGAGCTCTAGAGAGAGTAGATCTGTGTCTAGTACATCTCCACATGGCCTGGTCTTTTCATGGCACAGCTTGAAGCATGGCTTTCCTGCAAACCAGCTGTGAAGCTGGGATCTGATAATAGAAAGCTGCCTCTCAATCACAGTTGAAATGTGACCATCCACAGTCCCCAGTTCCTTTTCAGATGCCCTCCACTCACACTAGGACATGTGCAATGGACGGGATCTTGTCTTTGGTCACTGTCAACAAATGCCTTCATGTTGACTCTGGGCAGGTTGAACTTTTCACACTGACAGTTTAAATCTTTGCAAAAGGATTTGAGCAAGTTTCATGACAGCGAGGTATAAAGATACTGTTTGAAATTGAAAATGTAGAGTCTTCAGTGGTTCTTTGTGTCAGTTCAATTTTAGAAGTGTATAAATAGTTCTGCTTTGAAAATGCACAATGAAACCTGCAGTGCCTGTAGCCAGGACATGTAAACCAGATATGTGAATTGGAAGTGGTGGTGCAGAACTGCAAAATGTGTAGTTGAAGAGCTGTCAAAAATCTATATACAAATGTTACAGAGTAACAGACTGCTTTGCATCAACTTCAAGCATATTATTCTTAATAATCATTTTATTGTTTATCATTACTTGGGTTTATAAACTAAACATACTTTTTTCCCATGATTTTGAAACGAAATAAAAACAAAGTTTATAAAAACTATATATTTTTAGGAAATAAATTTGATTTCTGTCAATTTTTTTCTATTTAATCAGCAGACGTGATAAGGGATCCATGACAAAGCATTTTATCTTTAATCCAAAAGTCACCAATAATGAAGAATTCATTAATGAGAAACAATGGAAGGATTAACTCGAGGTACAATAAAAATGCCAGCAGATTAGAGAAAGGTGGAGCTGTCTGAGCCTGAATCTAAGTAGGTCAATCATTGCAATGCAAGCCCTCTACCAATTTCCCCTTTTTCACACACAACTTCCATTACACCAGCTGTCATTTCATTGAGGTATGGACACGCCCCCTTGCCTCACACAAACTTATTCAGATTGCCTCAAAGCAGGCCTACTCATTATCTTATTTTATGACCACTTTGAATGTGAGAGCCAGTGCCTGGATGATTAAGAACCCCCCAACTCAGTTACACTTGAATGTCTACCTGCATACCATCTTGATCAAATTGCTTGTGACTGTATTTTATGACCCAATTAACTGTCTAATCTTATCTGATTGCTAGATTGTCTGCAGCTCCTCAGATAAACATGTGGCTCAATTTACACACCAGAAAACACACCCACGTTGGTTGATCAATGAACAAGTCAATATTGTATGCAATAAACATCTCTACCGGACATGCACAAGGTTTATGGTAATTGCTAGCAATTGAAAATACTTAGCTTCAAATGACTAACCTTTTTTGAAGAATATAACATGTATCAAAAAGAATAATCCATTCAACGTTCGCGGTGTGCTTTGACAATGTGCAAATGAATGATTGAATGAAATCCACTGGGTAAACACATTGAATAAAACATGTTTTCCAAGCTGGATCACAATGCCTAGTTTTTGGTATTAACGTTCCATAAAGTACAGATGTATTTTATGACAGAGTATGCGTAGGAGAAAACATAAGCACAACTGTTAAACGTCAATCACCCCTCATGTACACACAGGGGTTGATGACACACAGAGTGAATTCTCACAACCGGAAGTGAATAATGACCCTCATAAACATAGTAAATAAAGGGAGTGCTCTTTCAATTAGGACGAAAAAATAGGTTTCAGCGTTGAGGTACTTCTGTAGGAATATATTTACTTCTTAAAACATTGGTCTAGGAGAAAAATGAAGTTTCTGTGGGATCAATTATTGAATCGATAGGCCCAGCAGCCCGTCTCGTCTGAATATATTTTCCTTGCAGAACCTCACACGTCCGTCGCCTCTCTGTAAATGTTAAAACGATTACAAGCCGAAACTGAGACGTGAATTTGTGCCTAGCCCACATCAAGCTCGAGATATCGTTGACACATGCGACAGGCGAGCTCTGGGGTCGTTTACAGATATTCATTTCACTGCGATACCCACCCATTTGGCTAGCAATGATTAGGCCCTGTATAGCTAGAAGAGAAAAGCAATAAACTATATCGATCTTCACTTTCGTGGGTTGCAATTCGATATCTTACCTATTTGCAGAACGTTGGAAACAGCACCGTTTTCTAAAAGTTTAATTCCCTGATAAAAAGGCAGCTTTTGGCTTTCACAGTTGTCCTTATTAGAACAGTTTGCATAGGAAGAGTACATGCAAATATCCTTTTCATTTCGGGGAAACGACCAGTACACAATCCGACTTTGAACGGGCTCCGGTATCCGATCGTAAAGCTGTTCTATCCGTTGAAACGGAATATTCTCTGCCACAACTTTGGCAGAAATGTCCAGAAGAGATTCCACTTCTCTTCTATGTCCTTTTTTGTCATTAGATCCATGTGCTCTGCGCGAATTCTCGCTACAATCGCGCGATCGAGAGGAGCACAACCTCTTCGAAGCCGCCATGGGAAACATATGATACTACTGAAAAGGTTCTTACTGCCCATGCGCGAGTAGGCTTAAAATAACTTGGCGCATGCGTATCGCTGTGGTATTTAGGTAATCCTGATTCCGACGTGAAAAATTAATGCCTAGTCCGGGCCCGAGGGAATCCCTTTGGGGAAATCCCTTTGGCTGAATGGAAGGTCAGCTGTGCCCGGGATCCGGCTTAGTATTTACCCCATTCATATTCTTTAGAGCGAATCTACGCGAGGTTTACACTCGAATTGGCCACCAAAGCAAGAAAAATCTTTCTATGCTGTGACTCAATTGATGCAGCGGCGTAATAATTTGTTCAAACACCTACGTTTTGTGTCCTATTTCGCGCATTTGGGATCGAGTTCTTTCTTATTTGGGTGTGGAAGTGACGTGAACTCTGAAATGCTTCTCATGCTTTTCCTCCCCTGTGAAAGAAACACGAGCAAAGGACAGCGTGCAACTATACATTGATCTTCAATGCCTCCAAATAACGTGTTAGCGCGTATCTCGTTTAGATTGTTAGCATGTTGGATTCGAAAATAAGGACAGTCAGAATTTAGTCATATGACCGAGTAAACTTGGAAATGTGGTGGCGTGCCGGCGCCCTTCCCTGTTAGTGGTTATTGTATGCAAATGTCTGTTTGAAACGGACGCTCCCGCTGTATGATATATAATGCTTGACCTACGAATATGAATAATTAGCATAACCGTATTGATGACCCCATTCCGAATAAATATCCAGGTCTGGAATACATTGAATAATAATATTTTCCCGACCACGTTTCTGTTGTGTAGTCAACATAAAAATAATTACTCATTACCGAGTCCCTTTATCGAAATATCAAAACTCGCAAAAAGAAATAATCAATTCAATGAATCCTTACAATAATATTTCTAATATATGTGCATTATGCATTTCCCAAACGATTTTAATCAATTTTCACTTTTATAACCGACCGGAACTCGATTGTACAAGACGTCATACACGATGCATTGTCTATAGCAGTAATTCACACCTCTTTGCGTAAGCAGCCCGTGAAGTATTTTTCCAATTAACACCAGCTTTCTGACGTATCCTGTTTAGAATAATCGTGCATGTTTATAACCCTCACACAACGTATGGATAGAAGCGACCAACTGCGGACAGCCCGCAGCAACAGTTTTAGGCTGCAATAAACCGTCTGAATAGTAGGTATCAAAACCGTCAAGGAGACTGAATGGCATTTTCAGCAACGCGTCAAAGCTATTGCCCTGGAAAATACAAATGTTTTCACTGTCCTCGATTTCCTTAATTGCTCTTCTGTTGCAAAGAAAACAACTTTCGCCGAAAGGTGTGATGTTTTTGAAGAGTGGAGGGAGGCGATTGATGCATCACTTCAATCGGCATTGTGGCTGTGCTTTCCCCGATCGAAGGTTTCTTTCTGTCCCGTTGCGACCAGCAGTCGCATGTGCCCATGTGTTACCAGCAATTTATATCTCCAACACGTGTCTTGCACTACGTAGTACTCGACATGAACTTGATGGACGCCGACCGTGGCTGAATGCATTCGCTTTACCTCAAGTAGTTCAGCGCAGCAAAAAAATCTTGGTGTGCTAACTTTAATTAATATTACCTGGGATAGCGTTATGTCAGTCAATGGATTGTCTGGTCCAGAATCGGGTTTTATCAGACCGTTGTCATATAGCTGGAATATTGCGGAGTTAGGCGGCAAACAACAAACAAATCCCAGAGATATACTATGGAAGATAGCGATAATAACACAAAAGAGAACGAAGTAGTCATTTTAAAATAATTTATAGGAATACGCAAGAAAATAAAGAAAACTACTACAATAATGCATTTACTTTAAAAGTAATCTGACAGTGATAAGGTCATTTATTCAAGCCAATCTGATAATTTGACACATGATTTGTATCTGAAAATTAACACAACTCTTAAAGCTGTTCCCCAATTGAAGATGTAGACTTTAAGTGAAGTATATAGCTGGCCATTCTCTGACCGTTTCAAGTTAACACGAAGCACTTGAACACGATAAAACCAATCCGTAAGATTATCTCATAGCCGGATGTAATGAATAAAAACAAATCTTTTCGGTCGATAATCTGTGGTAATTACCCTTAATCAGGCTTAAAATATTTAGTTGGGTTTACCTGCAGGTAAGACATGTATGTATGTGGTACAAACTATCGTGTATAAGAGAAGTACTGTTCACAGAGATAACCTCAAGCTAAGGAAGTTACATGACTGCTAAACTGGATTTGACAAAAATATCTAATTTATGAAAAAGTAAACAGGCTGAAAACCGAAACTGCAAACTCCTACCACAACTATGATGCCGGTATGAAATAACTCCCGAGTAATCATCTTTGTTTCATGTTAGCCGCCATCACCATGGATGTATTCATTCCTTTGTCGGGAAGTTTACATGCTTCATGCTCTTTTCAGCTGCGTTTTCTTATGTAGAGTGCGTGACCTTTCATATAATTCCCAACCATAGAACATATGTTTTTATATACAGAATTACCAGAATAACGCACTTTGCGAATAAACAGCCCGCATGGAATATGTTTCTGTATTTGCTTCGTGGTCGTGGTCGTGATCATCATCATCGTCGTCGTCGTCACGCTGTTGTTGTGCAATGGATATTACATGGGTTGTCATATTTTGGTTGTGTTCCCTATTTAGACTACAACACTCACTGCAAACGAGGCCGGCATGGTAGCCCACTGGTTAAAGTGTCCGTTCGTTCGAAATCCCGGGTTCGATTCTGCAATTGGTTCATCGTCGTGATATAGCTTTAGTGGTGTAAAAAATCACTCACTCACTCACAGTAAATTTGGTATGCAACGAGAACCAGCATCCTCGGAGAAAGCCATGTATAGCGGCGAATCATGCATAACTAAAACATTTCTTGAAGAGCGTGTCGGGTGTTCACCAGTATCTTGCGTGCAGATTTCAGACTAACAAGATAATGATTTCAATAGACAATGCCATTTAGAAAGTGGTCAGATGTTGTATTTGGGATAACACTTTCTTAGTAAAGTACATATTCTAGTCCTTTGGAAGTACTATGGAACCCGCGGTGGCGTCTGACTCAGTGTGCTGGCTATTAGGTGCTTGATTCTGAGGGTGTTGGTTCGAATCCCGGATAGGACTCACCCCATATGTTACTGGAACCTGTACTCTACTAATAAGGTGTAATCCCAAAATATACCATATGTTACAAGTAATGATTCTTCTTTCTATACCGAAACAAACAATACGAAAATGGCGTTTCATTATTCAAAAATATATATTTGTAATGAGACAGCTTTGTAACGTACCAGAGTTTGAACCCAACAAATTTGATCTCCAAACTGGAGAAGATTAATAACAACATCACTTCGGGCATTCCTCTCTTATTTAGACAGGGGCGTAGGGGTAGTCTAGTTGTTAAAGCGTTGGCTCGTCACGCCGAAGGCCCGGGTTCGAATCCCCACATGGGTACAATGAGTGAAGCCCATTTCAGGTGTCCCCCGCCGTGATATTGCTGGAATATTGCTAAAAGCGGCGTAAAACCAAACTCAGTCAGTCTTATTTAGACGATGAGCAGTGACATAACTGAAACAGTGTTCAGTTGCGTTAAACAGCCCCCGTTATACCGCGACACTGTTGTCTGCATATGTCTCACAGAGTCAACAGCTGTACCCTGGTTTGAATACATGTCATGATGTATGGCGTATACATGCGTACATTGAGTCTGTATGCGAACAACCTGTGTGGCAGGAGATCTGATTCACCCTTCCTGTTCATCACAATATCTCATCTGTGAGGAATTCACTGTTTCAATTTGACCACACAGCTGATTCATATGTATTCAATATGGCATACGTCACATTTTATTGGAACGGCTCTCCAGTTCTCCATATTTACATATGCCATCTGAAATATTCCAAAATATTGTCAGCTGTAAGTTTCCGTTCTAGTTTATACATCGCATATTTATAATATATATGTATATAATATAAACAACTGCTGCTTTGAATGACACTATTTTGAAGAAAGAAAAATATATATTTGTTGCAAGCAGTATGTACACGAAATTAAGTGTCATTTATGCAAATCGTTGGTTTCAACCATTACATTTATCACTCGAGAGTGCGCATTCAGCTGAAACGAGTTCTGCACACAGCATCGAGTTCTCCGGCACTTTAAACCACCCTAACCGCCTAATCAACAACTGTCAAACTATATTTTCACATAAAATTCTCACAAAAAATAAAAAGACAAAATGAAAGAAAAACACCACATGATGTGTAATCTTATGGTGACTTATTTATTCAGTGTCTACGCAATGAATCTCTGCATGAAAGGGGCGGAAACATCTGGTGCACTGCACATACAAGGATAAATTACCCCAATACCGTATTGCCCGATAATTAATACAATCCGACGCCATATTTTCCCTCTTTTCCTGTTTGCAGTCACGTGACGGATGAACCATGCAGGCTATCTATTACATATAACCGGATGAGGAAACTTTAAACTGTTACGTCCGATTTTTAAAACCGCTGTATTTCGAAGAATCCGAATATATTTTTATGATTTGCGCTGTTCAAAGTTGATATAATTATATACTATTATTCATCAGTAGATGACTACTGGGATATTTTGTTCTATATACATATTTTCACGATTCTCTTATTTAAAGTAATCGGTTTGGTGTATCAGTCATGTAAGTGACTGAGTGAGTTTAGTTTTACGCCGCAGACATGTGGTTCAGGGACTGTGAGACAGACTAAACTTATGGTTTAAGTAATGGAACAGTTCAAAAGTCACTCCATATGTGTTCACGTGGTATTGCCAAGCACCAGGATACAGGAAGCGCTGGATGCTTAGTTCAAATGGAACTAGTAACTATGCACGTTGTTATTCAGCCTAAGAACCACCCTCGTTTAGCCACGTTTAACTACGTTTAGTCACGGGTATGGTACAGACAAACCCACGAA